CCATATTGTTTGTCCTCATTTATTCAGTATTCAGTGTTGAAGTATGTAGCTCCAAATGAATCTCCATTTGGTTCGCACCAAACTGTACTACCTGTGATCCATATACCAATCTATATGCCAGTGTGATCAGGCCCCATATTGTTTGTCCTCATTTATTCAGTATTCAGTGTTGAAGTATGTAGCTCCAAATGAATCTCCCTTACCTGTCATACATCTTGTCAGTGTTTAGCCTTAGTCTGACAATTAACTGTTTCCCAGCTGGCCAAGACTCTCAACCTGGTCTTGCTTGTGACATCTTCTACGACATCATAATGTCCATGTTTAAACTTAGCTCAGGCTATCTTTCAAATTAGTTTGAAATTAGCTCTGCAATTCTAAGATTTGATTAAGTGCTACAAGAAACCACCAAAGGGTTTGGGATTAAAGAATACAGCTCTGGAAATCTTGATAGACTATCTCTCTATGTTGGCTGTCCCCTAGAGGCCCATTTGCAATCTGGAACTTTTCTTCATTTCCAGCACTTCCCTTGGCATGTGCCCATATTACCATTTGGTTGGTTGTGTTTGAGAAATCTGTGGATTGTTGTTCATGCTTTGTTCTCTTTTTTGGTGGGGTTTGTTAATTTCCCCAACATGAGGGAGCGTAAGAGGTGTGTTATTCAGCAAGTCCAGTTGGATGCAGAGTCTTTTGCAAGCCACATCTGGAACATGGGACAAGCTTTCATCAAGGCAGCCAAACAGGTGGGGAAATAACATGGCTCCTTTCTGAAGCAGAGTATGTCTCTCTTATCTAGAAACAGATCCACGAAGGTGACCCACAATGCCATCTGCCAGGAGGGCTACCCATTTCTGCCACCTCCTTTCTGCTCTCCCTTCCACCAGTGACTACATTTTTGTCTCACATGCCTTCCAGCTGCAATGAATGATACACGTTATTTGTCATCATGGGATGGTGCAAGAACTACAGTAATGGACTGTAACTAGGACGGCAATCTTGTGTGTCTTTACTCAAAGATATGTCCCCAATAGAGTTTCTCCTAAATATATGTTTTTAGAATTGCTCTTGGATCATCATGAGATCTCTCAGTAAATTTGATAACTAAATGAGGATTTTATTTATTTATTTACTTTATTTATATCTTGCCTTTCTCCCAAAGAAAGGATTCAAGGTGTCATACAACAGTTGAAAACTATGTATGCTTAAAATCACAACACATTATTAATATTTAAATATGGTTAAACCTAAATAATATTTAGGAACAGTATTTAAACCCAGAACTCTTTGAGCATAATCAAGAGCTATGGTGTGAGGATACACCTGACATAGTACTTAGAGGCTATATAAATTGAAGTTTTTTTCTTCTAAAAGTTGTTTATGGGATTAAACTCTATGAATCTGAAAGAAGACCCATACAAAATAATTAAACTCCACTTTGACATATACAATATTAAATCATGAGCAAAACTCTTTTGAATTAATCAGTCCTAACACCCCATTTGAGGGCCATCCCCTATAAAATGTTTGATTTCAAACTCTTCAGTGAGTCAGCAAGAGTGCAGGATTTTAACAAAAAAAAAATCAAAACTGACAAAACTAAGCGTAGCATAATCTTTTGTGGATTGATAGACCTGATTGTCTATATATCAAGTATATATAACTCTTTGTTGTCTTTGTGGCAGTTTTTTTTCCTTGCAATACATTGTCCAGCACAGTTACACCCAGGCTTTAAATTACATTTGCACTACCTGTTCGCCAGATACAGTCACAAGGTGTGGGCAAGAATGTTAAAACCGTAACAACAAAACTGTGAGGCAATGGCATGAAGCCCCCCCCACCCCACAGAAGTGCATTTTGTTTTGCAGTTTTCAAAAATGGAACTGTGTTAGTCCAACTAAATAGGCAAAGAGCAGTCTTGATGTACCTGTAAGACTGTCACCACTCCGACTCCTTTGCTAAAATCCCACCACAATTTACAAAATATGCTTTTTGTACAACGACTCCTCATTACCCACCACAGGCTAAGCTGGTTTGGGTGTCATAGTCCTAAAAGTAACCATCCAAAGTTCTGCCTCCTGCAGAGATTTCTCTTTGTGGAAAAAAATCAGCCCATGAGGATGGGTTGCAAGCCATCTTAGAAACAAAGGAAAAGTGTGTCCCTTCCTGTCATATTGTGGTTGGGATTTGGGGTGTATTAAGCTCTGCTTTTGATGCTCTTGCTTAGTCAGTTTTAATTCTCAGAGCACGTTAAGTGAGTTGACCCTCAAGGTTCTCCTTTGCTGCTGTTAATCTATGCACGGAGCAGGTGCACCTCATGGAGGTGTGCACAGCATTCAAGCAGCTAATTACCTGGCTGAACTGGTAGCCTATATAAAACTAGAATAAATCTTCAAGCTCTGCTGAGCAGAAGGGCCTGGCCTGCTCTGGTCCATTGGGTCACAAAGAGTTGGACACGACTTAACGACTAAACAACAACAACACTTCAAACCAAACCAGTAAACTTATGGCACATGTTTGCAATAACAATATAAATGATGAAATACACATAATTTTCAAAAGGCCTTCTTTTGGAACACGATCGATTTATATGTAGAATATTATTTTAAATTCAACATTTATTAAGTGATTCAAGTATCATGGCCATAGAGCCAGAGATTGGGCGTGCAGTTCCCCACCATGCCTCCCTAACAATAGGGTTCCTTCCAGGTCTGTAGTTCTAAGATGATGATGATGATTAATGTGTGACTGAGCACAGAACAGGAATTTCATATGTGTCCGTTGCAGAGAAAGTCGTCTGTCACTGTGTCATTTCAGACTCTAATCTATCAGATGGACTCTACACTTACTAAGCTGTGTGGGTGTACATGGAAAAACATGTGTTGACCACAAACCCACTCCCCATCACAAAAGGGGAGAACACGTACAGATTTCTCACCTTTGGAGAAAAGTTTGCAAACCAGTTTCCATGATTTGCTACTCTCGCAGATGTAACTGGAAACAGAAAACTCAGTAATGCTCATTACTGAAAGAATATCATAAAAGTGTTTGGGATGAGAGCAGGATGAGTTCAAAAGAGGGCCATGGCAATGGAAAGTAGAGTGCGAGGTGGGCCGTGTGAGTGATCCAAACATTACAATAACATGAGAAAATGCTAGTGCAGATTGACACCAGCTTTCAAGTGTCACAGGGCAATCGCAGGAATTGTGATGTAATTAGAGAAAGGTGCATTCTAAGGGTGTACAGTACAACTAGAGCTTATAATTTCCAAGCAAAGTTGAAGCAAGCTGTCCATTTCCCTAAGTATACTATGCTTCTCTACAAAGAACACAGGAATATAAATTAGACGCAGTATTGAGAACACGTGTTTATCAACTTAGCATGTATTCCCCCTCAAAAAAACATACGTGCTGTGTGTACTAGGAACCCCTTTTTTACACAGTACTTTAAAGATCTGAAGTTCTCTGGTGTTAAAAATTTGTTACATCAACATCTTCATTTATTCTTTCTTTGAATGGGAACACAGCAAATGCAAAGTCCTGAAGATCCACACCATGTCATTCTTTTTTCTTAGATCAAAGTAAATTTGGGTAACTTTGAGGCATGGATGTCAAAAAAAAATGTGCATCGTTCACAAGCTCTGTACTTGGAGAGACAGAGAGAGAGACCCAAAGTCTTCACTTGGGTAAGTAGAGAACCTGGCTATAGTCTTCAGTAGAGATGGGCACAAATTGGAAAAACAAGGAATAGGGGTGGTTCGTGGCTATCCACAAACCATAAACCACAAACCACCCTGAATCAAGGAAACATGAATAACTTTGTGGTTCATTTTTCTGATTCATGCCTGGCAACCTGGGGGAGAGGGGAACCTAACAGCTCTACCCCCTCTTAACACCTGCCTGCCCCATTCTCACTTCCCCCATTGCCTCCCTACCTGGTCCTCCCACCTCCTCCACCCCCTCCTCCTTTTCCTCCTCCTCTGCCACCTTCGTCGGAGACATCTGGTAGGTGGGCACATCCTCAGAGGCATCCGGACTGGCTCCTGGCAGGGAAGCCGAGCTACTGTTTCTGAAGATGGCAGCAGAAGAGGAGGAAGAGGAGGAGGTGGCCTGACCAGGTAGGGAGGCAACAGGAAAGGGGCATCCATTTTGCTAGAGCAAAAGAAAGCACCAAGCAGAAAAAAAGTTTGGAACTTTTATTCGTTTCAGCAAAACAGCTTGCTCAAACCGAACCATGAACTGAACCACAAACCAGCCCAGTTCTTTTTTCCCCCCAGTTCATAGTTTGATTCATGCCCATCTCTAATCTCCAGCTCTGATTAATAAATTAACATGGGCGATCAGAAATACACAAAACTACTCAGACAACTAATAACTTTTACTCACTATCATATCTTTTTATTCAACACAGCAACAACCATTCTTCAGTCTGTCAACCTCAAGTTTCCATGTTTGCTTGTGGAGTGACACTTTTAAATGACATTCACATGCTGTTGTTCATTAATTTAAATCTCTCTAGACTGTTTGAATGATGGATTGGCTGTTTTTTTGTTGTTGATTCATTCTATATAGAATAAAATTTACATTTTTCAAAAAAAATATTTTATCTTGACAGTTGAGAAGACATATATAAGCCAGGAGGGGGGGGGGGAATCAGGAAAGTCTGTCATATTCTCCGGGCAAAAGACAATTAACTATAACAGAGATATAAAATGAAGAAATGTTTTTTAAAAAACATACAAGTTTACCAATAAGTTACTTCGTATTTCCCCATCAAAACAAATATCATATAGAAGAAGAAGAGACAGAAAAACTTCCCATTTATCACCATTATTGAATTGTAAGAGTCTGCTCATGCACAATTTTGGGCCTGATAATATCATCATTAGAGGATGACTACCTCTCAAATTTCATCAGATTATATTTTTTGGTCAGTGCATTCTTTGTGGAGACCATAGACATATTCTGTACAAAGAAGTTTTCTTATTTAGTCTTCTGCTATACCACAGACGTCTTTCAGATGAGGTGAAAAAATCAACTTATGATGACATCAAAGGTAATATGTGATTCTCTCCTGATGAGCATTTGCACAAACAGCTGATGGCTGTTGTCTAAATTCAGGATTGTCAAGCTGAACAGGCTTAATCCAAAATATGAATAAGAGTTTTCAAGCTGTGTTGGCAACCCTAAGATTCTGGAACCTTCTAGGATACCTCGGTCCCCATCAAACAATCTCTCCTGTGATGTGTAATTACAAGATGGTGTAACATATGCTCATATACTCAGTGTTCACATATGACCTACAAGGCTGGCCAATACCTCTTTCTCAACCAAACGTGTTTTCTCCCGTGTCCCAGAATTTTCTACTACAACATGCTAAGGTCTCCTAGTAGGCACACAGCAGTTCCTCAGCAGAGGAGTTGGTGTAGAAAAGATTCCCTAAAGATAAAAGGTCGAGGAAACTATTTGTTAAATAAAGGAGTGTACTATTTACACAGTTTTACAATGTACTATACTGGAAACATAATTCGGGTTAATTGTGATAACTATATCATCATGGACCATTATAATGACTCAAATAATTTTCACAGAGAGGTTGGCAGCACAGGGAATGAAAAAAAAATTTTTTAACAAAACCTACCATCTCTTTCACCTAACATGAGAGGGCACTAAGTGCTGCATGACCCGATCTTACATAAATGTTAACAATCTGTTTTGGAACACAAATTCCAAATAGTCTTGGATGTTATCTTTGGCCTCACGTTGTTTTCTTTCCAAGCAATTTTCAGTGGTAGTAGTTGCTGAAGGCATGCAAGATATACAGCAGCGCGGTGATGAATGCAAATATCTGAAAAGGGGAACAGAAAGATAAAAGGGCGATTAGTACTCTTTATTTTTTATATGGCATCAAGATCACACATTTCTATACCTTTTTCTCCCTTTTTTTTCCACCATGCCTTTCACTCGCCTTCCAGACCGAAGTCCAAACTATTAGGGATCTAAGAATTCAGGCGTAAAAGGCTCTGAAATTTTAATACCTTTTTACAGAACATTGTTGCTATGTGGCATCAAGTATTTTCCAATACATGGAAACCCTAGCAGGGTTTTCAAGGGATAGGTGAAGTTCAAGAAGTGGTTTACCATTGCCAACCCAGTGAGTTTCCATGGCAAAATACACATTTGGACCTGGATCTTCTGAGTCCTGGCCCGACACTCTATTCACTAAATCCCTGCCTCCCTTCTAGGAGGCAG